AATGGGAAACAGGCTTCAACACAAACAGTTGTTTTCTGCTTGGTCCCAGAGCTCAACCAGTGTCAATTTAATACAGCGTAATATTGTTTTTGGATGGTAAAAATGCAGGGGTCATAACTTGACTTTGGAAAAAGTGTGTGTGTGTGTGTGTGTGTGTGTGTGTGTGTGTGTGTATGTGTGTGTGTGGGGGGGGGGGGGGGGGGGGACGGATGTTAATCGTACTCGGTAAAAACATGTTTGCCAGAGGGCTGCTAGTCCGTTTGATTGATCACAGCAGTTCATCTCCGTCCTCAGTCTCCATCAGAGTTATTAGAAAAAAAATGAGTTAACTTTACATCCCTGTCTGTTAGTGCAGCCAACCGTGCAGCAAGCTATTACCATTTTACTGTGAAATCAACTAAATAACAGCGATAAAATGCTACAAACTAGCTTATTTTGGCTAGCTTCACTGGAGTTTCAACTGTCTTTTTGCCTACCATCATGGCAAAGGGGGGTGGTGCCATGAGTGGCATGACATCACGTGCAAAGGATCAATACTGATTGGACTTGATTAGAAAAGCCACAAACCTGTCTATATAAGACCTTACAGCTCACAAAGAGCTCAAAGACAGAATTGCGGCAAGGCACAAATCTGGCCAAGGTTACAAAAACATCTCTGCTGCACTTAAGGTTCCCAAGAGCACAGTGGCCTTCATTATCCATAAATGGAAGATGTTTGGGACAACAGAACCCTTCCTAGAGCAGGCCATCTGGCCAAACTGAGCTAACAGACATCTGGGGCAAGAACCTTCTCCAAAGTGCTCAGGACCTCAGACTGGGCCAAAGGTTTACCTTCCAACATGACAATGACCCTAAACACACAGCTAAAATAACCAAGGAGTGGCTTCACGGCAACTCTGTGACTGTTCTTGAATGGCCCATTCTGAGCCCTGACTTAAACCCAGTTGAGCATCGCTGGTGTTCTAAGTACAACCAATGTAATAAATGATTCAACGTCCTTCAGCTCAAGAGGTGTCGTGTTTATTTCTCAGCCCACCGAACTCCCTCTAAAACTCCTCCTACTTCAGGCAACTCTTAACGACATACACACTGTATCTATTCACATGACAGCTGGAGAGACCTAAAATAGGCTGTAAAACATCTGTCTCCAAGGAGGACCAGGTGATCTCACTAGGCTTTGAGAATTAAGTTATAAATGGTTTAGGATGTGCTGGAGATACAATTCAGGTTATGAGACACAAAACATGTTAAAAAAAATCCCAGTTACCATCATTTTAACTCAGGGGCACCAATGAGCTTTCGCCAGATGTCAGGGTGTTTGAATTTAAAAAGGAGGTCATTAAAAGATTCTTCAAGGTAAAATTTCAGATTAACAAACAAACGGTTGTGGTCTGCCAGCTTGAGTCGTAAATATCAGGCCAAACAGTTCTAGTTACTGAATCACCCTTCACCCTTGTGTTTGATTACAGGTTTAAAAATACAATAACCAAACCCAAGTGCATGCTATTGCATAAAATATATGTACCAAATCACTTAAACAAAGTTTGTCTTTGAGGATTCATCACACACATAATCCACATTTCATGAGATTCACGTTTCAGTTTGTCTGGCAGCCAGAGAATAGCAAACATAACCCAGGAGCCGCTGGTTCATCACATACATCATCACGTCCCGTCAGGTGGACTTAAGGACAGGCGCCTTTCAGCCAACATCAACATCCAGTTTCACCGGGGTTGTAACTGAAACTGTGCTCAGCTGCAGGGCTCTCTGTGTGGGGGTGGGAAGATGAGGGCCGTGGGTCTAAAATGGAAGACATCCTAGTTATAGCATCACAGGCGGCATGTTGACAACCGTTCTTCTGGCGTGATGAATTAGTCAAGCCTACCTCCAGGCTTTAGAGTGGATTGGTACCAAAGCCGAGCCATTCCAAAAACTGTTCACTTTCACTGGAGATAATGCTCTTATGTAATGTTACATAATGAGTCTTGTGTTGAAATAAAATCAACCAATAAAATAAATCAAGGCCACCAGTTTGTTTTGCACATACCTCAGCTTTCTCCAATTAAGAGTCAGCTGTTTTAAAACGTGACACCGCAGCGAACAAGCACACCCTTCTTAATCATTCAAATTAAAACACTGTGCGTGTGTGCGTGCGTGTGTGTGTGTGCGCGCGCGTGTGTGCGTGCGTGTGTGTGTGTGCGCGCGCGTGTGTGTGTGTGTGTGTGTGTGTGTGTGTGTGTGTGTGTGTGTGCTGAATGAGGGTAGCTGGTGATTTTAATATCCTGACAATAACGACCTGGAGAGGGCTGCTATGTGTAACGCGTATGACTGTGAGCACCTGTGGAGCTTTTTTGAGATGTTGACATGCTCTGCCCCCTTGTGATGAGAAGATGTCCAAAGCGTCAAGAAGCATGAATCAAAGGGAATTTTCTTTTCTCCTGTTACACTTTTAAGATTCATTCACTGGATGGTGGAATTAAATAAATAAAAAGTAGAGGTGTTTCCATGAATGCTATAAACTTACATTATTATTAAATTACTATTATTATTTCTAAATTAATATTTGCTTACAGTGCCCTCATTTCATCAAAATTATAGAAAAAATAACAAAAAATGTTGATAATTACATTTATTTCCTTTATCTCTTGGTGTAGACGTTAGAGCGCAAAACAAATGTAAGTACATTTAATTAATTTGAGAATTGTTTATTTAATATTCAACAGCTTATTAAAACAACTTTCAAAACCTTTAAATGACATTGAGAACAAGAATTGTTTAACATTTTTAAAATATTTTCCTTTTTAAATTAATTCACAAATATATAGTCACAAAATATGAAATACAAGATGATTTCTGCTCAAAATAACAGGATCTTTTTTCTGTAGATCTGATTTGATTAAAGGGAATGCAGCACAATGCCCTAGTTATTTCGTGTGAATAGCAGAGGTGTGACCAAGTCACTGCTTTGCAAGTCACAAGCACGTCACAAGTCTTTTCAGTCAAGCCTCGAGTCAAGTCCAAGTCAAAGACAACCAAGTCCAAGTCGAGTCTAAAGACAATGATCTGGAAGTCCAAGTCAAGTCTAAGTCCTTACCTTTGACTATTGAAGTCATATTCAAGTCATCTGTCCAACTTCAATTTAATGACAATGATAATAAATAAATCCCAGAAATAAAGCTTCTTAAAGCTTCATTTATTTGCTCCAACAAGCAGGAAGTGCAACTGAAACTGATTCTAAACAAAGTGCTGCTGCATTTAGCAGTACAAGATCAAACCCAGAACCAAGAATGATTTATGATTTTTGTCCATGTCGGGCCACTTTTGTGCTAAAATATCAATGATGCTCAAGTCATCATCAAGTCACCAGATGCAAGTCGATTCAAGTCGCAAGTCATTGGCGTTCAAGTCCGAGTCAAGTCGTAAGTCGAGTCCAAGTCTTGTGACTTGAGTCCACACCTCTGGTGAATAGCCTCAGAATTCTTACATTTCCAAAGTGCTCTATACTTACATTTTGTGTAAAAATCGTTTAACTCTGTGTTTCAAACAAATGAAAACTCTACTTTGATCTTGCATTTTTAAAGAAAATATATTTCTCATTCTTATCGCCAAGGGGCGACACACACACCCAATCTGTCCCCTTTTCCTCCAGCGTTGTCCTGTACTAGTCCCGGCGTCAGTGACGTCACCAACGGGAGCAGCAGCCAAGCGTCAGCAACCACGGTATGAAACCGGAAATACTATTATTTTCCTTCAAAGTGAAAGCTTTGTGTCCTTTTCAGAGTTTGGTGGAAGAAAAATGGGGAAATATACGCAAACAGAGGAATAACACATATGGAAATGAAACATTGATAAAATGAGTATTTAGCCAACACACGCACACACACACACACACACACACACACACACACACACACACACACACACACACACACACACACACACACAGACAATTTTGTGTAAAATTGCAACGGTTTGGACTTACTAATTGAAGATGTGTGAAGTAGTAATCAGCTGCATTAGTGGACAGCAGCAGTCAGGATAAACACAGTCAAATCCAGCAAGCCTCTTAAATCTCAGATAGTTCATAGAAGTTCAGGCAAACAGTATATTATAGATTTTTCTTTTATAAATGTTGCATTATTTTGCATCAGTCACCTTGACTGGGTAACTAAACACTTGTTTCACACACACACACACACACACACACACACACACACACACACACACACACACACACACACACACACACACACACACACACACACACACACACACACACACACACACATTGCCAAGTCTTAGGTGTCTATGTAAAGTATGATATAACAGAAACGTTTATTAAATAGTTTTTGCAAATTCAAAATGTTAGAAAATCATCACTGAATAATCTTCATCTATTCAGCAGCTAATGATGTAAGCTATACTTAAAAACTACAGTCAGTTATTTTTGTTTTGACATTCACAGATCAACAATGACACTAAATATGTGGAACAACCTTCCTTTGAAACACAAAACTGTTCAAAGGTTTGACCATTTTCAATTATTAATCAAGACTCTATGGTATTCACTGGCTCTAAAGTTTGTTTAAGAAGGAATTCCTGCACATGCACGGATAAAAGTTCCAGTTTCAAGGATCCTAGTTTCGTTGCGCAATTATAATTTTTTTATGATCTACTGTTTTTTGTCTTTTTATTAGTATTTCATTCATTCTAAATAATTTCTATTCCTTTAAAATGTATAGTTGATCTTATTTTTGGTCACTGAATGTTGATTTAAATGTGTTTTATACATAAGCCTAAATTTTGTCTTAATCTTGCAGATTTACTTTTAAAATCTGTGATTATGTATTGTATATCCTGTATTAGCAGTTACTAATTAAAACTAATTAATTGAATTATATGTGTTATTTTGAAAGCATTTAGAACATGTTCAACATCAAGAATGAAACTGCGTAAATTTATTTTGAAAGGAAAAGCGGAAGTGAGATGTCAAATCCGGTTAGCTTGAAAAAAGAGATTGTGAGGTGGAGGCAGTCACCCCGCGACGGAAAAACAAGCGAGGACAGGTCGAGACGTACATGCTCAGTCCATGTTTTAAATTAAAGGAAATATTTGTAAGCTGAGGGATTCTTGAATGTGAACCTTATTTCCGTCACTTTCACGCGAGATTAGTTACTTCTCACGCGCGGGTTTGTGGTTTTGTTGAGCGTGTCGCTGTTTGCCCATTGTCACTGGAGTCAACACTAAGGTAAGCCTACAAACCGCATATGAACTGTGTAAGTTGGGTCACCTAAACAGGAAACTTTACACACTCCAGCTGTGTGAGCTTTTATGTTGTTTGTGTTACTTTCTTTCGAAAAGAAAATTTACAAACAGTCGTAAAAGTTTAAACAAAAATGGTAGCTTGTGGTGTCACTTTCTCGCTCCTACGCCTGGTCTTTGTCCACTCAGATGGATTAATACAACTCAAACCTCGGCTAGCTCCAAATACGAAGGCGCCTAAAACATACTTTGTTTTTGGTTCTCTTACATTAATAAAATAAAAAATACCATATATAAATGTAGCATTTTGTAACATCTTTGTTCGCGGTCACTTATTAATAAAGGCCTCTTAGCGAAGACTGCGATCCACATCAGGTCTTGAGACATCTGTTTTGCGAGACATCTGTTCCGTCTGAGTAATCGTCCACATGATGTAAAATTGTCGTTAAACGAGTTTTCAGGTTTATTGAAGACAAATGAGCGGCTTTGTGCGCTGAAGCGCCTGTTGAAGTCGCAACAGTTCACACAATGACCATCACTTTCCTGAAACAGTGCAGATTTGTGACTGGTGCCACATGTCGAGCCTGTCAGTGTTTCTAGTGGCTTTTCATGGGAACTGCACCACGAAATCCCTGCATCACTTCCAGAGGGTGGTCAAATGCATTGTCTGTTCGATTTTGGTCTATTCGTCAATCTGTTTCCGTTGTTGTTCATTTTATGACAAAATAAACCCAGTTTTAGTGCCTAAAAGCAGAAAATTGCTTTTTTCTAGCAGGTAAACTTGCATAAATGGCACACCCATTCTGCAGACACACCCTCCATCGTATCAGTCTAGTACAAGGTGCACTCGGCTATGACAGGTATGTGCGTCATGTAATGGGCTACTAGTCAAGTATGACAGGAACTTCCATTACATCATGTCTTGATGTAAATACGAATGTTTTCTAACATTTCTCATTTCATAAACAATATAAGTTTAGAAATAAATTATCCACATGAAAACAACTGCAAGGGGTTAGGGCAGGTAGAGAGTCTTCATTCATCCCCGCGTTGCCCTTCACCTGCATGCGTGGTTTTGTTTTCATCAAAAGAATTCTAAAAAAGCATTATTGCGTGAGAAAATATTAGCAGCCGTTAATTATTGCATTAATGCGATAATGATGCATTAACTTTGACAGCCTTAATAAAGGTAAAAATAGTGCTCAATAGGGCTGCACAATGCATCACAAATATATCATCTTCGCAATATCGGCATACGCATATCGCAAAGAACAGAATAAAACAAAATGGTCAGCTCAAATGCTTGCTAGACATAATGCTAAAGGTTCTTATAGGTTACGACACTTAATTTGGATGGTTAGCAAACACCTGAATAAGCTTCGTTCTGCTTCTTCCAGGATCCACTGATTGTTCTTGTTCATTTTCTTTTTCCGTTTCCTCACATCTTTTGATTACAATCGTTGCATTTCCCATTTTTTATGATATTTGATAATTTTTGTTCTTGAGTTAAGTATTTTTTTATTTCAAGTCATCATCATCATTGCAATATTAATCACTGTTATCACGCATAGCAGCTTTTCATGATATCGTGCAACACTACTGAAAACACACCCTGCTAGAACTCACCAGTAAAATCTAAAGTGCATTCAAATTTTTCTGTAAACTGTAAACAAAACGTTTTGATGCTCCTGAGTTAGCAGCAGTGTCATCACAACAAATTCATTTCTGAGACTCTAAACTGAAACTTTCTATGTGGTTATCTGTGCATGTGCCGGGCTTTAAATTGGGTCAACTAAATATATTGGCCTGTGCTGATGTAAAAGGTAAATTGTTAAAATAATGTTTTAACCAAGATAAATTTAAAGTAAAACATTGAGTCAATTATTCATTCAAAGTGTAAAAACAATTACTTAAATAGACCCAGGTGGTTGATGTGCTGCATGAGTGTTTGTAATGTTTCCTGCTTCCTGTTTTCTTTCCATTTATCATTTATTATTAACATTTTGGAAACCATTATTAAAAAAACAATAATCTTTCTCGACTGGAAAAGGGCAGCTTGCCAACTCTGGGTCGGGAGAGAGGGCCTGCCTCAAGTGAAGGAGTTCAAGTTTCTTGCGTCTTCTTCGAGAGTGAGGGAAGGAGGGAGACATCAACAGGCGGATTGGGGCAGCGTCTGCAGTGAAGCGGACGCTGAACCGGTCTGTTGTGGGGAAGAAGTAGCTGAGCCGGAAAGCAAGGCTCTTGATTTACCAGTCAATCTACTGCCCAGTCCTCACCTATGGTCATGAGCTTTGGGTAATGACCAAAAGAACAAGATTGGGGATACAAGCGACCGAAAGGAGTGTTCTCCGCGGGGTGCCTGGACTCAGCCTTAAGCCTGATTCATGCTTCTCCGTCAGCTCCGCAAGGGACAGACACGCACGGACTGACGGAAGCGTTTTGCTCTCATACTTCTCAGTCTCCTGGGTAGTGTTGCAAAGCAATTCCCCGGCAGGACAACAGAGGGCGTAGCGCTGTTCTGTGGTATCCTGTCATGTATCCGATCCAAGGTGGTGTGTTTGTATTTTGTTTTTTGTATACAAGAGACTTTTTAACATGGACAAATTTGTCTCTCATTCTCCTCCACCTCTTCATGCGCTCGCCACCTCTAAACCCACGTTTCCTGTCATTTCCATCCACAAATAAAATGCTTTCTGCGCATCTTTTCACTCCTTCAGTCACGGGGGAATTAAACATTCATATTTTAGGGTTTTTTCGTGAGATATTCTTCAAGCTACTCCGTGTCTGCCGCTAATTATTCTCGGCTCTCTTTATGTTTTTGAGGGCACAATGGCGGCGGTGTAGACGACAGCGGTGCCCTGACCAATCGCAAGCTTGCATTCTCCGTCTCATTCGACGGATGTGTAAAAAAGTGGGCTCGACTCCGTATGTACTTGCGTCCCTGCCGGGGCCCTAAGCAAGGACGGATAATGGCGTTGCTATCTCCGCACTGACGCAGACGGAGAAGCATGAATCAGCCTTTAGGGATAGGGTGAGGAGCTTGGACATTTGGGAGAGACTTGGAGTAGAGCCGCTGCTCCTCCATACTGAGAGGAGTCAGTTGAGGTGGTTTGGGCATCTTGTTTGGATGCCTCCTGGACGCCTCCCCAAGGAGGTGTTTCAGGCATGTCCTGCTGGCAGGAGGCCCCCTGGTTGCCCCAGGACACATTGGAGAAAGTACAACTCCGAACTGGCCCAGGAACGCCTTGGGGTCCTACTGGAAGAGCTGGTGGAGGTGGCCGGGGAGAGGACAGGCGACCTGGACCCAGATAGGCGGAAGAAGACGAGATGAATAAACTTTCAAAATAAGTCCTTCATCCTTGCTTTTCCAAATATGAAAATTATTCTGGTTTTAACAGTTTTAGAGAGGTTGTGGATAATATCCAGGTTTGATTATGCTGGAGAAAGCAGGTTAATAATGTTTCTTTTTACCAGATTTCATTGTTGTTGCGACTTAGCCATGGCTACTGAATATTTAGTGCTTTTAAATTTGTTTTTGCACAAATTAAGCAAATTTTATGGCCTGGAAAGCCATACTATATACGTGAATATAGTCTGGCCATGACCCATAGACAGAGCTCAGTCGTAGGGCAGAATCTATGGTTGTCTTTCAAACTGTCTCCTCATGCTGTTGGACAACTGTTAAGCTACAAACATGCTACAGATGTCGGTCTAGGGGGCAGTCTGCCATCTACTGTAAAAGAAGACGTAAATACATCATTTTTCTAAATAAAGGAGTCAAGTATACCTATGTTCTCTTGACTGAAAGAAAAGTCTCGGTAGTCCAAAGTTGATGCCAAAGCATTTCAAATGAGCCGCTGCCATCTTGTTCTGCTCCAACACATCATCCCACCCACCAAACCCTAGCCTGGCCTGCCGGACTCGTCCTCTGTTTAATTCTGCACAGAGAAAGAGTCTGGTAACTCACAGGCAGAGAGGCACTTGAGGGGCAGGACTAGGCAGCTCAAAAATAACCAATCAGAAAAAAGAAGGAAATACCGACTGTACCGCACAATGCTGTAGTTTTTTAGCTGTAGTAGAAAAAAGGTGTCTGGCAATGGCACAAACACCCTTATTTAAGAAATTTTTTTTTAGAAGAACTGCTTTTAGTGCTTCTACTTGTTGTGGTTTTAAAGACATTCAAGTCATTTAGAACAGAGGAAAGAGCCGCAGCAAACTCTGCCGCTGTCTTTGTTGTTTATGAAAAACTGAGCGTCTCTATGTGTGACGTCCGCGACGCTGTAGTTTTTTAGATGTAGTCAAAAATAGCGCCTGGCGACAGCGCAAACATCTTTCTTTACAAGAAAGATTTTTAGCGCTTCTACTTGTTTTGGTTTTAAAGACATTCATGTCATTTAGAACAGAGGAAAGAGCCGCAGTGAACTCCGCTTCAGTCGCTATGTTTATGACAAACTCGGTGTTATGGTGTGTGACGCACGCTACTCAGCACTGATTGACTCGGGGGATGTTTGAATAGGAGAGTTCCCAGACCTTTTCTCTGTGCAGAATTAAACAGAGGAGGAGTGTGGCAGGCCAGGCTAACCAAACCAATGAGAGTGCTGTAATTAGCATAACACAATACTGATCAGGCTGACGGTAGGCCTGTTGAGGCTCCTATAGAATGTCCAGACCAACATTCAGAGCAAAATCATTTTATTTCGGCAACGTCTGTCTAGATAGGTAGGCTACAATTTATTAGCACAATATTGTACTTGAGATCAATTTAATTGCTGTTTTATACATATTTAGGTTAGGGGTGTCCTGTTCTGATATCGATATCGGAAGTTAAATCCATTTTGGCCCAAAAACACTGTATCAGATTAAATTGGACGGCATCAAAAGTCTCTGATGTAAGCAGTCCTTTAAGCTTCACATTTTTGCAACCAATGGTAAAAAAAAATCTTTTTTTTTCATACTTACCGTTATTGGCTCTTGTTCTCCAATAGA